GAGAGAGAGCACAAGCAAGGAACTCAGGACCGAGAGGGGTGCACCCACACACTGAGACAATGGGGATGTTCTATCCGGAACTCACCAAGGCCAGCTGGCCTGGGAGCGGACAGTGAGGACTACTGAGAACTCAAGAACAATGGCAATGGGTTTTTTATCCTACTGCACGTACTGGCTTTGTGGGAGCCTAGGCAGTTTGGATGCTCACCTTACTAGACCTGGATTGAGGTGGGTGGTCCTCGGACTTCCCACAGGTCATGGAACCCTGATTGCGCTTTGGGCTGATGAGTAGGGGGACTTGATCGGGGGAGGGGGACTTGATGGGAGGAGGGAGAGGCAATGGGAGGCAGTGGCGGGGAGGAGGCAGAAATCTTTAATAAATAAATAAATTAATTAAAAAAAAAAAGAGCTGAATGGTCAATAGCTAGGCAGGGAGGATAGGTGGGACTCTGAGACAGGAACTCTGAGAAACTGAGAAGCAGGGGATTTGCCAGTGAGATGTGGAGGAAGTCAGATATACTATACTGAGGAGAGGTAACAAGCCATGTGGCAGATGCAGATTAATATAAACAGGTTAATTTAAGTTTTAAGAGCTAGCTGGAAACAAGCCTAAGCTAAGGTCAAACTTACATAATTAAGTCTCTGTGTCATTATTCAGGATCTGGCAGTCCAAAAAAAGACCTGCTACATTAGCTAAAAATAAATAAATAAAATCTATTGCCAAAAGAAAAATTAAGCAGAAATGTTACCCCTAATGAGTTTATCTTTGTATACTACTAAAAATCTAAATTCCAGTAACATTAAACAAAAGTAGCTATAGCTATTCTCTTACCTGGAAAAAGGGATAACACGGTCATTAGTGCACCCACCAATTTATTCACTGGAGAAATGTAAAAAAGAACCTGAAATGGATTCAAATGAAATTAAATTAGAACATTCACAAGACTGTAATAATATAGAAAGGATTCTCTGCAATATGAGTCAATACTTAAGAACAAAACAAAACCAAAAAAACCTATGAGTCATGACTTAAAACAACTACAACAATAAAATTAGCTATCCCACCCACCACAATTCAGGCAAAATTTGAGGTCAGCTGATGATTCAAAGGATAAAGACGTCTGGTAAGATAGACTTAAGTTTAATCTGTGTGTCCTATAGAGCAGAAGAGCAAAACTACCTCCGAAAGTTATCCTTTTACCTTTATATATATGCTACAATAACTGTGTGCACACAAACATAAACCATTCACACACACACACACACACACACACACAAAGAGTTAACTAGATTTTTTGAATCTGGTTAACTTCATATTTTTAAAATTTTTTTAAGTTCTTTATAATTAGGTTTTAATAAGTAAAAATAAAAATAAATATAAAACTACTGCCAGCAGACACTGAAATGACCATCGTAGATTGTTGGACAACAAAATATTCACAATATGTTAGATGTACTGTCCCATAAATTTTGATTAAGTTAGTTTGTCACCTTAACCAAATGATCAAATTTCATCTTATCAAGAACAGAACAGTTGTGTCATATTCGGAAGTAATGTTATCACTGATCTAGCATCTTGTTAAAAATGCTTAAATGTTTTTTTTTTTTTGGATTTTTTCGAGACAGGATTTCTCTTTAGTTTCTGGTGCCTGTCCTGGAACTAGCTCTTGTAGACCAGGCTGGCCTCGAACTCACAGAGATCCGCCTGCCTCTAGGCCTCCCAAGTGCTGGGAGTAAAGGCGTGTGCCACCATTGCCTGGCTCACTAGATTCTTTTAAAAAGCGTCGGATGACTCACTTCAGCAGCACAGATACTAAGACTAAAACTATACAGAAAAGATAAACATGGCCCCTGTGCAAAGATGATACGCAAATTCATGAAGCATTCCATATTTCAAAAACGTGCCAATCATGAGGACTGGAGTTCAGGTGCCAGGGTCCACAAGCTTGGCAGCACCCTTTGTATGCTGTAATACCAGCTCTGAGGCAGGCAGAGCCTAGGGTACTGCTGAGGTTTGCTGGCTTCCTGTATAGCTAAAGAAATACAAGCCCCAGGTTAACAGAGACCCTGACTCAGAATGAATAGGTTGATTGATGGATGAGGATATCCAATACCCTCTGTTAGCCTCAGTATGCAGGAGCAGGTGCTCATAATTGTACATTCATCCACACAGACAGATATATACAGTCAATTAAAAAGTGCCAATGTAATGAAATTAAAAAAAAAATGGGGGGAAAAGGCAGGACTGGGGAGATGAGATGGCCCAGTGGTTAAGAAAGTACATTAGTTTAACAGAGGGCCTGAGTTAGGTTCCCAGCACCCACATCAGGTGGTTCATGAATGCCTGTTATTCCAGTTCCAGGGGATCCAAAGCTCTCTCCTGAATTATGAGTGTACCCGCACTCATACATTCAGAATCATGCCCACATATATACATAGTTAGAAATGAAATAGATCTAAAAAAAAAAGAAATGAATAAACAAAAGAGTATGAGGTTGATGAAACAATTAGATTTGGAGTTAGAGATGCTACTATTGAGCCATGAGACATTGAACCATGAGGTCTCCTAACAGAACAATTTGAGGTTAAGGGGAGCTAGAAAAGGTAGTATAGGATCCCTGACTGTATCCTAGATGAAAAAGAGTTATATACATTTTATAAGTTAATAAAGGTCCCCTCAGTTAGTTATTATCTTTACAAACATATTGAAAACTCTGCTCCTTACCATTCTTTAAACTGCAATTTTTATCGAAGATAAATTACTAAAAGACTAATGGGATAGGCCAGAAGTGTCAGAGAAACAAATGCAAAGGCTAAAGTGCAACAGAAACAACATTTAGAATGTGAATTCTCAGGTAGTTACTATGTAGTCCAGGCTGGTCTGATACCTGCCCACCATTCTCCTGCCTTAGTCTCCCAAGGGTTGAGATTACAAGCATGTGATCCTGTTTTTTTTTTTTTTTAAGATCACCAGAATTTTTAAAAATTAAATTTCATTTTATGTGTATTTTGCTTGCCTGTATGTCTGTGAACAATGAGCGTGCCTGGTGCTTGCTAAAAGGCCAGAAGAAAATATCAGGTCCCCTGCACTGGAGTTATAGATGGTTATGAGCCACCATGGGTACTGGAAATCAAACCTGGTGACTTTGGAAGAATAGCCAGTGCTCTTAACCGCTGAGTTATCTATCTCCAGCCCCTATGCCTGGGTTTCCAAACTTTATATTGTGTTCATATTTATAGCTGCTCAAGTACTTCTAAATGTGTGTGGAAGATGGAACGCAACAAGTATCTTTTCCAGTTGCTTCTCTAACTTGTTATGCTTTGAGACAAAGTCTCTCATTGAATCTGGAACACAAGACTGGCTTGATGAGCTAGCCAAAAAGCCACCGAGACCCTTCCATCTCCTCTTCTCCAGCACAGAGATTATAGGCGCATGTTACTGTGCCAGTTTTTCACATGGATGCTGGGAATCCTAAGTAGAATAGAAATCCACACTCCAGAGTTCCCACAATGATATTTAACCATTCTAGTGACAAAAAAATTTCTCTATTTCATAGTATATTATAATTATATTATTTCTGGACAAATTTAAAGTTGTAAGAAATCAAAAGAAGAAATCGGCTTTTAGGGACACTATTATAGTTAGGAGTAGTAATGTATGCTTCTAATCCCAGGATTCAGAGGTTAGGGGTAGGGGCATTATGAGTTTTCAAATAGCCTGGGCTACATTAGAGACCCTGTTTATTCAAGGAAAAAAAAAAAAGGAAAAAGGACATAACATGTAGGAAAACTTAAAAAGTCTGTATATTATATTCTCCAGCCTTGTTGTTTCAATGAATCTATATTTGTTTATAAAATTAGGATCACAGAGGCTGGAGAGATAGCTCAGTGATTAAGAACACTCCCTGTTTTGGCCTATAAACCAGGTTCAATTGGCGGCACCCATATGGCAGCTCATAATCATCTGTAACTCCAGTTCCAGAGGACCTCTGTGAGCACCAGGCACACATACAGGCAAAACACTGACACTCATAAATAAAATGTAAAAACTGGATCACAGTCTTATGGTTGGATAGCTTTTAACCTAATGTGCCTTGAAACATCTTGACAATAAAAAGTATCTTGGGATTTTTATTATTTGGAGTTACATGTAACACAAAAAACAATTAGCTACTCATTTTAAGTGATTCTGTGATGGACTCTTTCAGGTAGTTTTGCATGCAATTCAGATTAACTCTGAAAAAGAAATCCCTAATAGGAGAATTATTGGGGCAAAGGAATAATTGGCTTAAGGTAATGAGCCATATAAGCATAGTGCATGGCTGATCCCTCAACAACCTTTCTACCTTATTTGCACTGAATGCAGTTAATATGGGTTATAAAGCTGGTTGTATTACAGGACTAACTTCTGATTAGCCTACACCAGAATTTCAAAAAACTTTTTCCATAAAAGATCAGACGCATTTGCTTTGTGGGCCATATGATCTCTCACATCTACTCAACTCTGCTCCTACTAGGTATAAATAGCTACAAATAAGCAAATATTAGGTATTCCTGTTTACCAATAAAACTCTTATCATAGCTCAATAGTTAAGAACAACTGCTGCTCTTGCAAAAGACCTGAGTTCAATTCCTAGCACTCACATTAGGTACCCTGTAACTACAGCTGGAGTATCTGATGTCCTGTTTGTGACTTCCACAGGTACCTGTATACACGTGCACATACCGACACACAAGACACAAACATAAACATAAATACACATATATAAGTACAAATAAAAATAAGTCTTAAAATCAACAAACTTCTATAAAAGTAAGTGGTAAGCTAGAATTGGCTATGAGGGTTCATAGACCTGAGGTCTACAAAGATCATGGCAATCCCAAATTCCGTCTCTTTGTAGAAAAGAGCTGTCTGGAACCCAAGTTTAAACCAATCAGAGTAAGCAGACTTTTGATAACAATTCTAAATTTAGCGGTGGGCATGCTGCCTGATGTGCCCAAACAATCTGAAGGGACAAATTCATATCCAATGGTTTGGAAGGTAGTATTTACATCTGAGAAAGCAAACAGCTAAATTACTGCTGGCAGTTTTGTGTATAACAAGAGATCAGCTCTATGTAAAATTAATTAAACTGTAGGACAAAGAGAAAGCACAAAGTCGTGATACCCTGGAAGCACCAAGTCTGACTGACCCAACACATTTTCTTTTTTTTTTTTTTTGGATTTTTCGAGACAAGGTTTCTCCGTAGTTTTTTGGTTCCTGTCCTGGAACTAGCTCTTGTAGACCAGGCTGGCCTCGAACTCACAGAGATTCCCCTGCCTCTGCCTCCGGAGTGCTGGGATTAAAGGCGTGCACCACCACCGCCCAGCCCACATTTTCTTTTCTATTTAAGTTAGTTTAAACTTCTTACGGTGACAGTATAATTGAATACACTCTCAAACTGCCAACAAAAAGAGCACACAAATTTGTATGTTTACGACAGTAAAGAAAAGAATTTTGTATTTCATTTGATAAACAAAATATGTCTTAACTCTTACTCGTTAATTTTCATGTTATATAATATATAAGCAATGTCAGTAAAAGATAAAACATCTGTTCTTTCTTTCATCTTTCTATATCTCACCTTTTTTTCAAGAAGAATTAGCTTAAACAGGATCAAGACCTGCAGAAAGAAAAAGAAATGCTATGTTACTCAGGTCTGTTATTAATGATTTGTCATTTTCTTTACTAAAATATAATCATGTTATATAATATTAAATAATAATACATGAGAAATTATGAACTTGAAATGAAAAATTAAGTATTACCTATGTCCTCTAGAAACATGAGAATCATTTAACCTTTAATTGAAATAGTTTTTTTGGAAGGAGCAGTGCTATCTCTGAAAAATTTCAAGCTTCTGAAAAGGCATATATTTGAGGCTGGGGAGTGGCTCAGTTGGTAATGTGTATGCTGACTATGTATGACAGCCCTGTGTTCAGATTCCCAGAACCATTTAAGCTATGTATAGTGGTGCACACTTGTAATTTCAGCACTCTGAGGTGGAGGCAGGAAGATTAGAAATTCATGGTTATCTTTAGCTCAGTGAGTTCAGGGCTAGTCTGGGATACATGGCATTTACATGAATATTCAATAAAGGTTTGGTAAATAAATGATTAATGTATGTATGTCCTAGAAAACATATACTTTAAAAATAAAGATCATAACACCATAAAAACCACAACAAAAGAAAAAAATAATTTGCATGGAAAAATATCCCACTTTTAGGGAACAACTTTTTTCCCACCCATACTAAGTGAAAATGCAAAGACTGCAGAATAAAGGAATCAAAAGCAAACCCTATCCAGCAAAAGGTAATCCCAGACTTTTACCACACAAATACTCCTGAGGCCTCCAGCTCTGTATGGTTAAGAAGCTGTCTTAGAAGAGCAAAACCACAATTATGCCGTCAGCTGATTGTAATGCTGCCCCAAGTTCACAGGAAAGGAACCCAAGAACAGACTTTCCCATTTCAGTACATTGCAAGTTGCAGGATATCTATCACACCTTGTGTCGAAAATGAAGGACAAGATCTCGAGGAGACAGACCTACAATGTAAACAGGAAAGCTAAATGTGAAAGGAAGAGAATATCTAAAAAAGAAAACAAGAACATGCAAATATTTAAACATTTACATAATACTTGGTGAAATACATATATACTCAGAGTATTGTCTTACAGAATCTTCCCCAAGGATGAAAATGTTTAAAATATGCCCTGTCAGACACATTAGCCACTGAGGACTTCAAATGTGGCCTTTAAATTTTATTAACTGTAATATAAATACAGTTTTATGTATACATTATTAGTGAATACTGCTTTAGACATTGGGTCTAACACTTACAGTCTACAAAAATAAACCACAGAAATTTAAAAATCATGAAGCTCACACCACAGTGGCAGCCAGTCATTTAAATGGGACATATAGTATTATTTCTGAATCACATTGCTTTCCAATCATTCATTTCAAACACCACAGTAAAAGAGAAAACAATTTATAAACACATTCTTAGAACAGGACTATCAGGCTGACTTTCTGCATATGACTGCACTAGTACTGGCTACTTCACATTGAAATGGAAACTGAGGATGCACACATCACCGTAGTATTACAACCTTTACTACAAAAGAATATTTGATGACTATCTCAGGCAACAATGGATTTTTTGAGCTGTCAAAATAGTGTACATTTAACAAATCCCCAAGTTGAAGAATCTCAGTACCCCACCCCCATCCTGGTGATTACACACATCAGCATTAACAGAAAGAAGTCCAGTACATTCTAAAAAGTTGAAATTCACCTGTGCAATGCCCGTAACTGTCACTACCAGTAAAAGATAATGATCAATCTCATAAGACAGCTAAGAGGGTATTTAAGGAAGAAGCAAATTTAAGAACATAGATCCCATACAAAGATTGTATAAATATCTAATTATTTGTATAATATTCAATGAAATGCACTTATGCTTAACAGTTCTGATCATGAAGAGCTACACATAACCAAGTTTGGCCACAGACAACTTTGAGGACATAGCTTCTGACCTGCAAGTTACTTACCAAGATACACCTGAGATCCTTCTAATGAGGCCCCTCCTAAGGAACTGTTCATATGCTCGTAGAGTTCCTGTGGAATGCAGACTGAGTTTAGAACCTCACACTGTCACTTTAGAGACTAAGCTCCTAGAAACACGACCAGAAGAGAACTGTATAGGTTATTCTGCCACCTACTAAATTAAGCAACCATGGTGTCTGTAACCTACTAGTTTTCAGCATTCAACTCATTTCTTCTCTTGTAAACATGAACAGTATCAGGAATAGCTGAGCAAAAAGAACAAAAAGCTACTCAGGATAGTCTTTTGTTCTGAGCCATTTCAGAGCTTTAACAGGGACATAAATTACCTTCCCTCTGCTTCCACACTAAATTCCTAACTGCCCCAACTCTCCCCAAGGTCCAAGACAGATCTAGAACTGTATACTGATGCCAGTCTTGAGAAAAAAATATACTACCCTTCTTCAATAAAATACCCGGAACTAGAAACCAGATACTCAAATTTATAGACACTATGCCATAGCAAAACCCTTGTAAGAGACATTGATACTAATTGTTTACAGTCACTGTTTCCTCAGGGACGGTTTGAGTTTAGTAGTTGGGCAGCTCTCGCTATAATATCAAGGTTTTATGAAAATATATTTTAAATAAAGATTTTTATTATATTTTATTTATATATTTATTATTTATTGTATTTTAAAGGTAAATCTTAACATTTTTCTTAATGTGTACATGTGTCCCTGAAGAAGCTAACGAAGAAGACATCAGATCCCTAGGTGGTTATGAGCCATTTAATGTGGGTGTTGGGAACCAAACCTGGTTCCTCTGCAAGAGCAACAAGTGCTCTTAAGCACTGGACCTGGAGCCCAAGCAAATGGATTTTCACACCATGTTTTTCTTAAGTCACCATGGACTATCCTGCACAGTACTACTATAAGAGCTACTTGATTCATTAAGCTACTTTTCAACAAACACATCAGTAGGGAAATTAGTTACCTTTAGAATAGAAATTTGGGAAAAATCTTTCTCTTCAAAATATGCATGTGTAATGAGTTGAAGTTTTGCTTGAAGTAAGCCATAAAGAGGCTAAAGAAAAGGAGAAACCATCATTAGGTTGATCATAGTAAACAACAGGAAAAAACAAATCCCTGTCATCTTTTAATTTAAAGATATCAGGGAGGAAAGTTAGTAACACCAACTGAGGGCCCACATACATAGCAGGAAGCTGTGATATTACACATTCTCACTCTTGGGCAACAGGTGAAAACTAACTTGGCAAGGTGGTGAGTCAGGCTCAGACTCTGGGCCTTGGCTCCATCTTTTATCTGCTTAATTAAGGACCCTTAACCTTTCCATACCTCCTCAGCAAGCTGACCCTGTACACAAAAAGGCGGAACTTCTGTGGCTGTGTTAAGGATTAAATAATAGACACAGCACTTAGCAGAGTCTGGCGCATAGCAAGAATGTCAATAGTTACTGCATTCATTCTGTTGCGGTGCTATCTAATCATCCTCAAGAGGTCTGCTTCCTACAAAGTTGAACATTGATTTAAGTTCACATCTTTTGTTTTCTGTCATTTGTGAAATGTGAGATCACCTAGTCTATGTCTTCTACATAGTATTACTTTGTATACTTGAACAAAGTTATTCTTCAATTGTTATTTTTTCAACCCAAAATGGATCATATTCACCTTTCATTTAACATTCTTGAGACATTTTCTCATTTATGTGCCTCCTTCAGAATGCAAGTCATACTGAACTAGTCCCCTGTTGCAGAATATTTGTTTAAACTGTGAAGATGCATCTTTGCCAAGGCGCCTTCTGATTGGGTTTAATAAAGAGCTGAATGGCCAGTGGCTATCTATGCAGAAGAGGTTAGAAATTTCCAGGGAGAGAGGGGACTCTGGGAAGAAGAAAGGTGGAGATGCCAGTCAGACTTCAGGAGGTGCAAGATGGACAAGAGGTAATGCCATGTGGCAGAATGCAGATTAATATAAATGGATTAATTTAAATTACAAGAGCTAGTTGAGACAAGCCTAAGCAAAAGGCCAAGCATTCATAATTAATAGTAAGTCTCCCTGCTGTTATTTGGGAACTGGCTGGTGGGACAAAGAAAGACTAGTTACAGTCCCCATCCCTGTAAATATGAGTATTATTATTAAGTACAATATCATTACATTTCCATTCCATTACCATGCACTATGAACAAGTGAACCTTTCTGATTAACTAAGCTGTTCTCATTCCATATGTCTCTTTTAGAGGCAGACAAAATTGGATTTTTGCCCTATTTTTATACTTAGTAATCTTACATATGAGAATTAGATATCATTACTCTAAAACATGTTGATTTATAAAGTGAGACTATAGCAAAGATATCTCAAGATTGTTAGGAAAATAAAAAGATGTTATATGAAATGCCTGGTAAGAACTAACACCTGACACAGATAGACACTTGGTGGTTTCTGTTATCCAAATTGTCCTTTGAAGGTGACTCCTTGGGAAGCCTTCCCACATGTATCTACTTTCACATATGGTAGCCAATGTTTTGGTTAACTGGCCCTGTATACAAATTAACTGTGGTGCATTTTTCAGGCTATCCTTCTAGAAACTGTGTATTATTATTATAATTACTAGAGTTATCATAATATGGCATGGCACACTGGTGAATATCTTTAATCCCAGTATTCAGGAGGCAGAGGCAGAGGCAGGTGGATGGACCTCTGTGAGATCAAGGCTAGCCAGGCACATACTAGTGAGATACTGTTTGTTCCTGCAAAGAAAAAAAGTGTATTATATATTATAAATTATTATTATTCATAGTTTCTCTTCACCCACTTCTCCATCTCCTTTTCCTCTTTCTCCTTTTCCTCTTCAGATAGTAATAAATCCCAGATAAGTCCTACCTTGTAAACCTGAATTTACATTATTAAAAACTCTTTATTTGGAGTTTTGAGACAAGGTTTTTTTTTTTTTGGGGGGGGGTGTGGCCTGACTGCTGACTGTCCTGGAATTTGCTCTGTAGACCAGGTTGGCCTTGAACTCAGAGACCCACCTGTCTCTGCTTTCCACAGTGCTGGGATTAAAGGTGTGTGACACCATCACCAAGCTAAAACTTTTTCTTTGTTTTGAGACAGAATCTCATTATGTACTTCTGGTTGACTGAACTCACTATACAGACCAGGCAGGCCTTAAACTCTCAGAGATCTGTTTACCTCTGTTTCAAGTACTGAGATTAAAAGTGTGCCACCATCACAGGCTATACAAAGAGTATTTGAAGTGCCTGTGGATAAGGAAATTAGATAAGAACCCAAGAAATAATCAGACAAAACCTACATATATCTGGTAATTTGGTCAATAAATCATTTTCAATCTTGGTTTGGAGTGACTGCAGAATGGCTACGATAGCAACCATAAAATATAGATAATTAACATAACATAGATCTAGGCTCTTCCACACAATGGAGATTTTTGGGGGGAGGAGGGGAACTAAATTTTACTGTAGAATTAGGCATTTGATGCAAAGGTGTTATCATCTTATTCATCACAATAGACACTGAATATTGTAAATAATTCAACTGAGGACTATGAAAATCAAAAATGTCAATGAATTTGTATTTCCTTCCTTCCTTTCTCTGACCCTTTTCCCCAACTCTTCTTTTGTGGTGGTGAGATCAAACAAAACTGAACTTGAATAATAGATAAACATCCCAGCTACTTATTTTCTTTTAAAATATAAAAATAAGCTGAGTGTGATCATACACACACGTAATCCTAGAAGTGGAGATAGAAGGATCAGGAATTAACGGTCTTAGTTATATAAAGAGTCCAGGTCAGGCTAGGCCATGAGACTCTGTCTTAAAAACAAAATGATGTTAAAATGGGGCAATGGCATTGGCCCAACTGATACAGGTATTTGCAACCCGATGATTCAACCCTAATGACGCAGATTTGATCCCTGGAGCCCACATAAAGGCAGAGGGAGAGAAGTGACTCCACGAAGTTGTCCTCTGACCTTCACATGTGCACTGTGGCATGCAGTCCTCCCCCACACTAGCAGTACAATTTAAAAAATAAATTATATGTTCAAGTGTGTAACTGTTAATACCAACTTGAAAAAATGTACGTAGAAGAAACACAGCTCTGAAATAGTTATAGTATGTAGTTTTACCATGTCATTGGCTTTTCTCAAACACTCTGAAATTTAAAGTATATATTAAAGTTAAATGTCTTCACTGCAATAGTCATGAACTTCTATATTACAAATAAAATTAGAGCAATTATGATATTTGTAAAGTTATTAAAACAGCATTTATCCAAAGTCTTGGGGACAAACAAAAATAGATAAATGAAATATAAAGCTGCTCCATTTGAATTAAATGTCAATTTGCCCAGAAGAATAAAAATAAGAACAAACTGCAGGAAGCAGAGGACCCAGAAGCACTTGGGCAAGCACTCAACTAGTTTTGGCAAGTCCTTATTCTCATATATCTTACTCTAAAAACACAAGTTCTGCTTTGAATGTTTATATGTAAGAAAGTTAGGAGATCTCTTACCAGCTTGCTCAAAACACAGACACTTTTCTGAACAGTCTCTCTGGTGATGTCGGCTTGCCTTACTTTTAATGCCTATTATGAGTAAACAGTTATTTATTAGAAATAATTCATAGCAGCATTTACAAAACAGTTTCGATATGAACCTAATAATTAAATAGAAAAAAATCTTGTATCCAGTTAAATTAAAGAACTTCACAATAGCCGGGTGGTGGTGGCGCACGCCTTTAATCCCAGCACTCAGGAGGCAGAGGCAGGTGGATCTTTGTGAGTTTGAGGCCAGCCTGATCTACAAGAGCTAGTTCCAGGACAGGAACCAAAAGCTATGGAGAAACCCTGTCTCGAAAATCCAAAAAAGAAAAAAAAAAAAGAACTTCACAGTAAATCTCAGATATGTTAGTTGAATGTACCTACTAGCCTTGCACTCAATGTCAGTAGCTAGGCACTGGGTGGAATAGTAAACGGACAGTCCCCACTGTCCTGGAACTTACAGGCAGATGGAAACTGCTTTATGTACAAGTCACACACCAGACCAACCATTCAATAAGAACCAATCCATAAAAACTGACTGAATTAAAAAAGATTTGCTATCTCTTAAAAACATATCTATCAGAAATCCAAAAATTAAGAGTCACAGGATGGAAATCAACCTACCAAGCAAATGGGAGCCTTCAAAAAGCAAATCTTGCTAGATTCATAGCTGTGAAAGTAGACTTCAAAACTAGTCAGGAGTGATAAAGAAGGTCACCATATCACAAATGTGTTGTTAGGAACTGATACTCAAATTTACTTCCGGATGCACTTCCTTTTTTCATTAGTAAAGCTATTGAAAATGCTGTGATATTTTCTTCTTGTACATTTCTATACATCTAAACACTTCCACGGAGTTTAATTTTTAATGCGATTTTGATGCCTTCCATTTTTCATTAGTTCTCATTATGTAAATTTAAATATGCTCATAAAAATAATGCATGACAAAAAATCCACACAAACAAATCATAACAAATGCTGGTACCTATGTGGAGAAAGAGAAATCGAAATCTTGCTCACTGCTAGTAAGGGCGCAAATTATTATGGCCACAGAAATCAGTACGGAAGTTACTCAAAACCCTAAAAATTGAAGCTGGAACACGGGCTCAACAGTTAGGAGTGCACACTGCTCTGCTCTGGCAGAGGACCCCAGGTCTGTCACAGAACCTACGTCAGGAGGCTCACAACTACCTATCACTCCAGCTCTATAGGACTGAACACCCTCTTCTAGCCTCTTCAGGTACTTGCACAGATGTACTACATTGAACGTAAAGACTGCGATTCCCCAAATGACCAACATCTGGGCAAGGGTTGGAGGCGCTTTTTCCTGCTGCTGCTCACCACCAATTATCATACCTTGGCTTCAATTTGTCGATAGCAAGAGATACCATATACTGTGGCTCCATTTCCATTTCTGGGTGGTAAGTGAAAAAACACAGTATCTAAGAGATACACAGAAAAATGTAAATAGTGATGTTGATTACTCATTACTGAACAATCAAATGTGAAGTTTTAATGCAATCATTAACACACAAATGATGACACAACCAGGTAATACTTCTAACATCAGAAACTTTCCCCCAATCTTTATAGTACATGTCTGTCACAAACCTAAGAAATAACATAGAGGAAAGTCAAGTCATAAATCTGATGGCAGCATGTGAATCTTGAGTGGATACAAGAAATTCTGGGAAAACTGGGAAAATCTGAGCACAGACTGGATGTGAGATGATATTATGAGATTATTATTAGATCTTAACTATGATAATACATCTGCATGCTAGGAAATTATTATATCCTTAGGGGGTGCATGTACTAAAGTATTTAGAAGTCGAGGGACTGTCATTTATTCCAAATGACTTTAGAATAAAAAAGAGACAAAACTAAATATACACATAAACATAAAGAAAACTTGCAAGGTATTTTCCTATAATCTTAATTTAACTTTCCCACTAGGTTGAAAGCATCCACAGCAGAAAAGTTAGGATGAAAAGTATTTCTTAGGTTTCATATCCTGTAATAAAGCTCATTTTAAGCTGCATAGTAAATTTTGATTTATTTTATAAGGGAAATATTAAGTATTGCAATAGGAAGACAAGTAGTCAAATTACATTGAATTTAGTTTAATCAAAGTAAAATGGTACTTCATTAGGTCTGGCAAGGCACTCTCATATGGGTGTAGAAGACTCAGTGTGAAAATGTCATTACACTCTTCTTTGAGGACACAAACATTCTCCACATGCAAGCAAGCGGCTTTTAAAGCACAGGGTTGAGTAGTGAGTCAAAGAAACAATCTCAGCTGTATTCAGGTGGGCATGAGAGAACAGCCTAGTGCGTCTGAAACTGGAGCTTTCCAGGCCATGAGTAGTTAGTGCAGATAAGTCTCCATTTCTGCCACTGAGTGGAGTCTGAAGCATGATATAATTGTAGGCACAAACCTATTAGCAGCTGTCCTGCTCTGGCTATACCTGAGTGCTCTGGGCAGGAGGGGAACCAAGGGTCACTGACCACGGCCCCACCACTCTCTGAAGCTTCTCTAGCGCACACCTCACCTCCAAACAACACATACACATTTTATAAATAATCACAATAGGCTCAAAGGCTTTCATTTACCAAAGAATCCAAGACTGTTATGGAAAAAATTTCCAAAACCTCACCTAGTAATTGGTCTACTATTTACTGACATACCTTCCTGATAGTTATGTGCACCATCTGGTAAGGCGAGGAAAGGCAAATACTTCCATTCTTCAGGTAGAGTGTGACTGTCATGTCCATCTCCCGCAATTAGTGGTGGGTAAGAGAACTCAACCTAAATTGGAAAAAAAATCTTAGCCAGAGACCAAAGGAAGAATTTTATACTAACAAACAGTAATGCTCTTGAACCCTGAATGATGCTATGCAAACCCAAGCACAGTTTATAGACTATTTCCTGCTTACTTAAAATGTCTAGTTGTAACAAAAATGCTGTCTAAAAGTATAAAGATAAGCCAAGAGAACTTCAAGTATCTCTCTTAAATAACCAATCCATGAGGCCAGACCTACCCTGATTCCAGTCATTTCACACATTTATTCTGAAGTGATAACAGGAGGAAAGGCTGCAACAATGGCTGACTTCTAAAAAGCAGAAACAATAATGACACTCTAAACCACAAGGAATAACCTTTTCTTTCTTCTTTTATGTGTACAGGTGTTTTACCTACATGTATGTAAGTATACCTACCATGTGGGTATCCTTTTCTAGTGCTTACTAAAGTAACAGGAGGTGGGGTCCCAAGCTGAGTCTGAGGGAAGGAAGGCCCCATCCTCAATTGCCTCCAAGCCTGTTAATTCCTATCTAGCTATCTAATAGGAAACATTAAGACTGCCACTCCTTAATGTTTAAAATAATATAGAAAAACAGTGAAGGCTATGTTGAAGCCCATTAAGGGAAAGCTACTTTCTCTGGGTCAAAATAATAGAATCTGAATTATGCCTGTGGTGGGAGACATGATATTCTGATATGCTCCAATGTAGAAGGAGCAGCGGGCTGAGTTCCTGCCGCCCGGCTCCCGGCCGCCTGGCTAGCTTAGCCCCCAAAATAACAACACACAAACTGTATTCTTTTAAACAATGCCTGGCCCCCCAGCTCCAGCCTCCCACTTGCTAACTCTCACATCCCAATCAACCCATCTCTAATAATCTGTGTAGCACCACGAAGTGGTGTCTTACCAGGAAGATTCTAGCCTATGTCCATCTTGGGTCAGAGCTTCTTCGCATCTGGCTCAAAGAGGAGAGGCATGGCGATTGCCTCACTTCCTCCCAGCATTCTGTTCTGTTTACTCCACCTACCTAATTTTCTGTCCTATCAAGGGTCAAGGCAGTTTCTTTATTAGCCAATGAAATCAACTCAAAACAGAAGACCCTTCCACATCACTCCAAAGATTAGAACATTATATACTCCAGGGCCAATAAAATGACTCAGCAATTTGTAGCCAAAACTAAAAACTTAAATTCAATCCCTGAAGTCCATGTACTGGAAGGAGAGAACTGGCTCCCCAAGTTGTGTGCCTGGTCTGTCAATCATCCTGCCAGAAGACTGCTCCTTAGGAAAGCTGGTTTACCTGAAGGCATGCTGTGGCGATGGGGAAAATGATCCCCTTAAGGAGATCATGTACTTATCTCCCAGAAGCCACACTCCCAAAAAGTTGCTTACTGCCCTTCCATTATGTAGCACTACTAAGTCTGCCAGCATTTCTGACTCAATCAGTGTAACTTTCCCTTTTCTACCTAGTTCTTCTTTGGATATAGTCCAAATGCTGCAGACTCTCTGAGCCTTTTTACTTTTTATGAAGACTCCTCCACCCCATTTATAGCTGCTTGCTGACTTCCATGGCTCAACCCTCCTTGTTTCTTGGACTCTAATTAGAAAGGTATGGCTTTCAGAGCCTATGAGATGGCTCAGAAGGTTAAAGGCATCAAGTATAAAGACTGGAGTTTAATTTCCAGGACCCCTAGGAAGGAAGGAGGGAACTGTTTTCAAGTTGTTTCCTTTAGACGTTGCCTGAAATTAGACTATTTGACAAGAAATTATGTTTCTACAGTTAATTTGCTAGTTATAGTCTAGACTTTTATTTGTTCTAGTACATAAACTATAACTGTCAGATTGCCATTGCTTTTTTTTAAAAAATATTATTCATTTATTTTTTAATCAGAGTCTTACTATGTAGACCAGACTGGCCTTGAACTCAGAGATTCACCTGTCTTTGCCTCCCAAGTGCTGGAATTAAAGTGCCACTATGCCCAGCTCTTTTTTGTTTTTAAAAAAAGTCACTTCATGAGCACTGTATTTACATAATTTCCACCCTCTCTCACTCTCCATTCCAACTCCTCCCATGTCCTTCCCTCTCCTTATTTTATCTTTATTAATGTTACTTTACACACACATACATACTCATGTGTGTGCATGTTTTCATGCAAATGTACATATATATAACCTGCTGAGTCTATTAAGTGTTGCTGTCCCTCTCTAAGCACCCATTAACCACCTGTAGTAAAATCTCCATGAACATACAAAATAAAATTAAAATGTATTTTTTAAAAAAACAAGGCAGGACTTTCTCTCTTCTCTCTTCCTTTTCTTCATCTCCCTTCCTTGGCAGCGGCCAAATTTTATAGCTTGTTGATCTTGTTTTTTTTTTTTTTTTTTTTTGAGACAGGGTTTTTTTGTGTAGCCTTGGCTATCCTAAACTGGCTCTGTAGACCAGGATGACCTAGAACTCAGAGAGATTTGCCTGCCTCTGCCTTCTGAGTGCTGGGATTAAAGGCGTGTGTCCCATTTAAAACCATTCTTGTTTTTTTTTTTTTTCAAACTCTAAAGAAAAGATCCTTAAACTTCCTTCTGAGTCAGTTTCTAAATTGTTTTATTAAAAGACTAAAAACCCACAAAAGGAAACCTCAATTTCCCTGGTAAAGTTCCAACTGTTTTGCAATTCTGCTTTTTCTTCCCCCGGAAATGGAGTGGGGCTAGAGAGAAGCTAAGAGGTTAGAGTACTTGCTGCTTGTCCAAAGAGCTCAGGTTTGATTTCCAACACCCACATCAAGCAGCCCACAAGTGCCTGTTACTCCAGCTCCAGGAAATCTAACATCCTCTTCTGGATTCCACAGGCACCTGCATGCATTATGAATATATATACTCTCAAGCACATACATCTACACACAACATAAATAAATCTTTGGGAAAAAAAGAAATACAGAGTCTTGAGGAGAGGGCCCCACCCATCTCTAAGGAGCTACTGGCAGTTATAGTTGCTGTGGAATGGGAAGGGATTTTTTTTTTCTTTTTAGCAGTATAGCCATTAAGCTGCCCAAGTTTCAGTGAATTACTTCCCTATCCATGCTTGTGCAGTGGGTCACACACACAAAAACAGACAAATCATGAAGGAAGACTTGCTGAGAAGAAAGGGTTCAGTAGGAGTGGAGGGCATGAAAAAGAATAATGGATGAAAATGACATAAAGACTTTACATACTTATGTGATGCTGTCAAAGAATAAAGTAAAAAAAAAATACAGTTTGGTAAAAGCATTCAAGAGTTGAAGCTGAGCTGGGAGGTGATGGCACATGCCTTTAAGTCCAGCACTCGGGAGGTAGAGGCAGAGGCAGGAGGATCTCTGTGAGTTTAAAGCCAGCCTATCTAGTGTTCCAGAACAGTCAACGCTACACAGAGAAACCTTGTCATGAAAAACCAAAATAAAATAAAATAAAAGTTGCTAGCTATGTATACAGACCAGAAATTCTACCAGAAAAGAGGTCAAAAGCAAAAATTTAGGGTGGTCAGATGGCCTAGTGGGTAAAGATGCCTGCAACCTGACAGTGTGAGCATGAAGACCCAGATTCAATCTCTGCAACCCGACACAGAGAACTGACACCACAAGCTGTCTTCTCACTTCAACACATGGATCATGCCCCTTTCCATGAACACTGTAAACAATAACAAACTATTGCAGAATATTTGTGTACATTGTAAAGATGTGTCTCTGCCCAAGGCACCTTCTTATTGGTTTAATAAAGAGCTGAATGGCCAATAGCCAGGCAGGAGGTTTAGATGGGAGTTCTGGACAGACAGAGAACTCTGGAAACAAGAAAGGTGGAATCACCAGCTAGAATTGGAGGAAGCAAGATGGGCAGTTCCGAGATGACGTAATGCCACGTGGCAGAGTGTATATTAATATAAATGGGCTAACTTAAATTATAAGAGTTAGTGGGACAAGCCCAAGCTAAGGCCAAGCTTTTATACTTAATAATAAATCTCTATATTGTTATTTGTGAGCTGACAGCCCAAAGAAAAATATGACCACAATAAAGTAATTTTAAAGTTTGGAAAATAAATGCTCTCAACTGAATGTTTAAAAATTAAAAACTACGAACAAAATCAAAGAGCTTGTGTGATACTACTTGATTATTTAACAAAAGATTATGGCAATCTGATTTGAAGTATAGCTCTCAATCCTCAGAGAAGCACCCCTCCATCTTTTTGCATCTTTACAGAAATCCACAATAGGTCTGCATGTAGAGAACTGACCATGAGGTACCCAACCCCAGGTGACAGATCTACAACACAATCCCTACACCTAATGCTCAGGGAACATGGTGGAAGAGGAGTGGAAACATTCTAAGAGCTGGGCAGTGGTGGTACACACCTTTAATCCCAGCAGTCAGGAGGCAGAGGCAGGCAGAACTCTGTGAGTTCGAGGTCAGCCTGTACTACAGAGGGAGTTCTGAGACAGTCAGGGCTTAGAGAAAGTCTTAAAAATAACAACAACAACAAAAGTCAGAGGACAAGGACATCTGCCGTGAGACAGTATCTCACACCCAAAATCTCAGTTGCCTAAGCAAGATCTGTACAATAATGCCAAAGAAGATGGGGGAAATCTCACTAGGCCCCACCCCTAGATAAAGAGCTAAGGGCAACAGAGCTGAGAGGTGGAGACTCAGTCTTCTAAGGGGACTAGTTCCTGGTAGGTTATCTATTCAAAGCGCTCCACCCTAAAAACATACAATGAAACATAAAATGAACTCAGCAGGTTAATTTTGTGTGTGTGTGTGAGCAGGGACACAGGCTTGCAAACATGTGTAACAGTAACAAAGATGAAACATGAATTAGAGGAGGAGGGGCACAAGAGGAATTGCAAGAGGAACAGGAGGTGTAGAATTATGTAAATAAGCACTCATGTATGACATTAAAAAAAGAGCATGACATGCTGAGAAAAATATTTTTATTTGTTTGTTTTGAGATCTCTCTACAATGTAGCCACAGCTTTCTGGAACTCACTGAGTTCCAGGCTGGCCTTGAACTCACAGAGATCCACCCAAAACCCAGAAGCTTGTTCACTAAGCAAGCACTCTACCACTGAGCTACATTCCTCCAGCCCAGGATTGCGTTCTTGGTGCTTTGTTTCTACAATACCCTGGGTAGGTGCAATTTTACAAAGGTGAATAATGTAAATTCACCTTTTACATTATTGGCTGGAGAGATGGCTCAGAGGTTAAGAGCATTGCCTGCTCTTCCAGAGGTCCTGAGTTCAATTCCCAGCAGCCACATGGTGGCTCACAACCATCTGTACTGAGATCTGGCGCCCTCCTCTGGCATGCAGGCATACATGGAGGCAGAATGTTGTATACATAATAAATAAATAAATCTTAAAAAAAAAAAAACAGGTGAATAATAAAACAAGCTGCTTTGAGCATCAGTTGGGGAAAAACTCAACTATAATTTTTCTTTTTTATTGAATGATTTATAATTCATTCAATTATCTGGCAAAAAAAAAGGGAGAAGGGCAAATTTGGGAGCTATTTATATTTGCTGGTTTTGGAGTAATGCTATGCTTCTGCACAGAACTCTGTTTACAGAAGCAGTCACTTTTACCTGTGTGCTGAAACCAAAACCTAAAGGCAAAGAAATGACACAGGATGCAGGGTGCTACTGTGCCATCCCTTTTCTGCTCTCTCATCGTCATGCAGCACCACATATGGTTTCCTCTACGGAAATATAGCTTGCCAATAAAACCAGTGAGTCAGGCAGAAAACATAATAAAATCTAGACTTTCAAATGACAGCAAGAATTAGGAGACTCTATCCCATCTCCTATCAATATTGATGTTTTCTTCCTTTGCAGAGCTCCACTGTGTGGCTCTGAAGCACACTTCCACATCATTCTTTACCTAGAAAGACTCCACTGGCACACACAATGAACACACATGACACAGAAAGCATTCTGACTCGAGGGCTGGGTGTTTTGGCTTTTGTTTTTGTGTTTTTGAGACAGTTTCTTTTTGTAACAGTCCTAGCTATCCTGGAACTTGCTTTGCAGACTAGGCTGCCTCAAGCTCACTGAGATCTGCCTGTCCAGGGCTGTTTTTCAGTATGATCTCAGCAATTTTTCCAGTAAGACCTTTGTCAAGTTCTGTCACTTTACTCCTATCTTATAAAGCAACTAGTTAGTTCAACGGTCGTAGTCCTCAAGTACTAAATAATCTTGTTTTTTTGAGACAGGGTTTCTCTGTAGCTTTGGAACCTGTCCTGGAACTAGCTCTTGTGGACCAGGCTGGTCTCGAAGTCACAGAGATCCGCCTGCCTCTCCTTCCTGAGTACTGGGATTAAAGGCTGTGCCACCACTGCCCGGCCAGTACTAAATACTCTTAATATCACATGCAATAATGCTACTTTCTCGCTAGTGTCATTCTGTCTTTCTAATCTGAGGATAAAGGAATATAATATCTTAAAGTTAACAGTCTCTTTTTTGAAGGGCCTATGTACCTAACAGGTGTTAGGTGTCCACCTAACAGAATCCTCCTACCTCAGACTCCCATTTGCCACTGGGCTTGAAGTTAATAGCATGCACACCACACCACACACACACACACACACACACACACACACACACACACGCATGCCACTATCACCTTTTCACTCCCTTCACTATTGTTATCTTCTAACGAACTGAACTTTTGTCAGTAAGTCTTTTAATGTGACATTCTCTGTGAAAAGCGAGAGACCAAATGCTTCGTTATCTACGAGTGGTAATTGTTTTTTTCGGTACCTTAAGTATTCAGTCTACAGCCCCTAGCACATTATGACATCACTGCCTTCCCGAAGGTGTTTGTTCTGACTGAACAACCTTGTTCTATTTTGCTCCTCTGCGGTCAACACAAAGCAAATGCTCTTTTCCCACGGTGGGTTGAAGAGCCAGCTAAGAAGCTAGTACCAGCCCATTTGCACTTACTGCTTGCCAAATTACATTTTTATTTACCGCAATTGACTTGGAGTGTCCACCTAACGAAAAGAATAGCTCTGGGCAGGATTAAATCTTAAATGGCAGAAGAAGAAAAGGGGGCGGGGCCGATCGCCAACCCTAAACTACAGAGTCTAAGGCTTGCAAGAGATAAACAAAGGAAGCTGATTCTCCTGCGCGGCGCCTGCAAGCCCGTCAGCCTACTTGAGCATTCGCGTGGAAACCCACAGCTCACCACCTCCCGGCGTTCAAACGCCGAGTTGTTCCTCAAGACTTCCTTTCTGGGTAGACACCCGGCAGGTCGGTGAGGACTGACAGATCACCGAAGGCGCGACCGTCACTCTTTCTCTCATTCCGAACCCCCACTGCTCGTCGTGCAATTCTCGGAGGAAGACCGCGTGGCAGGCCGCGGGCGCCGAGTAGGGCGCGGGCCGGTCCTCACCTGGCAGCCCTTCTTGTGGTGAAAGCCGACCACCACGATGTGCAGGACGGGCCCGCAGGGGGCGCCGTCGCCCTCACGGCCAGCCTTCTCCATGGGTGTCCGCCGCAGGCCCGCACCGCGACTCCAACCGCCGAGGCCGGCCCGCACGACCCAGAGCGGCGGCCTTCAGTTGTCAGCCCGAGCGCCGCATGTGCGCCGAGTCGCGGGCCTGGAGGCCGTCGTCCAGCTCCCTCACCTCCGCGCAGCCCCACGGGGCGACCACCGCTCTGCTTCATCCGCTTCCGCAGCTTCCGGGCTGTCACCTGACGACGCTACGGCCGCCTCCGGCGGCGGCGTGGGGCGGGACCCGGACGCCCCCGTCCGGGCGGGGTCTGAGGAGGCATGGGCGGAGCCCGGATGGGGGCGGGACCAGAGGGAAAGAAGGCGGGGTGGGGCGGGGCTGTATGGCAGGAGGGGCGGGGCCTCCCGGGCGAAGGCGCGGCTGGGTGGGGTGGATGCTGACCATCAGGGACCCTTTTGCAGTAGTTAGTGGAGAGGTCTAGGGGTTGCGTGTGCTTGAGGGTTACACCTGCTCCTTTCTTCTATGTACTTTGTCAGTTCACTTGCTTCTAAAATCTATTTTTCCTTCTTGAAATCTCCTTCCTCCTCCCTCAGCTTGACTTCTTTACAAACGTGTTTTCCCTTCACTCTATAAATCTTTTTAAATTTATATTTATTTTATTTTTTAATTTATTTATTTATTAAAAATTTCCACCTCCTCCCATTTCCTTCCCTCTCTTCCCTCCTCTTCCCCTTCCCTTCAGTCCTAAGAGAAGTCAGGGTGCCCTGCCCTGTGGGAAGTCCAAGGCCCTTCCCCCTCCATCCAGGTCTAGGAAGGTGTGCATCCAAACAGACTAGGCTCCCCAAAAGCCAGTACATGCAGTAGAATCAAAACCCAGTGCCATTATCATTGGCTTCTCAGTCAGCCCTCATTGTCAGCCACATTCAGAGAGTCTGGTTTGGTCTCATGCACTCTATAAATCTTTTGTGGAATCTCTCAACCTTGAGTTTTAAATGTTTAACAAGGAGGCATATTTTGAGGTTTGGTATTTTGGGTATTCAACGTCTAAATTAAGTTGCTTGCTTGCTCAATGTTTTCTTTGGTTTCGTCCTAGAGTTTTTTTCATTTAGTTTTTATGTGCAGTCCCATGTAGTGGCATCATGGATAATGCCAGAACTTGAGGGACTGAGGTAGGAAGGTTGCAAGTTTCAAGCCAGTCTGGGCTACATAGTGGTAGAAATGTGCTCACCAGGTGAAAGATTACAACTCCAACTTCAGTGACCCAGCAACACTTTGTAACTTCAGATCAGGCCGGACTTGGTGGCACACGCTTTAACCCAGCACTCCAGAGGTAGAAAGGCAGGAGAATTTCTAAGGATGAGGCCAGCGGGGTCTACAGAGTCCAGAGCGAGTTCCAGGATGGCCAGGATTGCACAGAAAAATGCTGTCTCGTAAAACAACAACAATAATAATTAATAACAATAATTTCATGTCAGTGGAGTCATAGTCCAAAAATCATAGGAGCAAGCGCGGATCAGGATGGCCTCAGCCTTCCATCCCTAAGGCCAGGTGTGGTGGTGGTGGTATGGGTGGTGGGGGTTTAGCTCTTCCTCCAAAGCCTGAGGTTTGATTTCACAGTCTACTCCTGATCTGCTAATTTAGAAAGTGATCAGAAAAGGAGAACAAAGGCAGAACACAGAGTGGGCAGTGTTTAAATCGAGTACACCTGGCTAAAGGACCTGGGACCGAGAACCTGTTTGGAAGAAAAGGCAATGGAGAGTTTAAGGTTAGTCTAGGCAAACAGACCTGCAAAAATAAATACATAAATGATATGTAAGAGTTTGGAAGCAATTTAAGCCTTGAATCATAGTATCGTTGACAAAAGATTTACATTTAAAATGATTATTCTAATACCATGATTAAAATGTCCAACTTTCATTGCTTATTTACTATAACTGGCATAAAATAGGTCGGTTGTTCCAGGGTTTTTAAATGCTTTGCTGAATGAGCTACAATTTCAAAAAGCACATTGTTTAAATGCTACTAAAACTATTCAACATTTTTCAATATGTTACTATTCATATCCTTTTTATATTACAAAACTCTTGACAGTGCTCATGACTTTGTAAAAATATACTAATCCCAGCATATAGAGTATGTCAACATGCATGTTACCCTTTTATGTTAACTACTTGATTTTTACTATTTTAGCTCCTTTTTTAAAAAAAGCTTTTTATTTTATATATATATTGGTGTTTTGTCTGCATGCATGTTGTGACGATGTTAGATTTGGAGTTACAGACAGTTGTGAGCATCCATGTGGGTACTGGGAATTGAACCCCGGTCCTCTGGGAGGATTGTCAGTGCTCTTAACTGCTGAACCATCTCTCCAATCCCTGATTTTTACTATTTTCTTGTTGTAAACTGTGTTACTATTTTCCACAGTTAGCGTAGCTAAAGTTAAGTCTGATTTCACATTTTTTTGTTTGAAATATGTGGATAAATTTCTGTCTCCAGTAAACATCAATATTTAATTCACTGTTCGGGACACAGAAATATGTGTCATTTTGCTTCCTGGAGCGGTCTTGTGAGATTAAATCATCTGTTTATAACTATTATGCTTAAACGTTCTAAGAACATATTTAAAGTAATTCTGTATTTAGTTACTATCTGACCAAATGCTGATCGTTAGGGACTTAAAGAAGACAGGATGTATTTCAGTTCAGGATACAGTACACCAAAGAAGCAAGAGACAGAAGATTTCAGGGCTTCAAACTGGTTCATGTAACAGTTTAGAAAGGCACCTCCCTTATATTAGGTTTTATATGTGTGTATTTACTTGTTCATGTTCGTGTATGTGTGCATGTGTGTGTGGAGGTCAGAGATCAACGTCAAATATCTTCCCTCAATTGCTTCTCCCCTTTATTTATTGACAGGGTCTTTCACTGAAGCTGGAGTTTACCCATTTGCCGAATGGACCAGGGAGCCTTAGAAATCTGTCTCTGCCTCCCCAGCACTGGAATTACAGATGTGAGTCACTCTTCCCAGATTTTCTTACATAGGTGCGAGGTGATGAACTCAGATCCTGATGCTTGGTGGTAGACATTTTACCAACTAAGCCATTTGTCCAGACTCTGCATTAGTTTTTAAGTGAATTGCATTACTGTAGAATAAATTCATGACCAGGATATTATTCCCAAGGACAAATGCCTCCTATTTTCAAAAGTATTGACTTGGGAAAGGATCCCAAGTCTGGAAGGAACTAGTTAACGAAGACCAAGTATGTTTCTGTACTTTGCTTTGACAGGAAATTTTGATTGTGTTTATATAATGGCATGTAATGTCGGGGGGTATTTAAAATGCTTTTCTGAATACATAACATTTTGAAAAGCTTTTCCTAGAAGCACATACCTTGTGATGATTCATAAATTCCATTTATATCTGCTCTGTAAGGAACCACGGTGGGGAGTGCGCTCTGAGACAGGAGCTCTGGCGTGATTTCCAACTCACTGGAATTGTAACTGGAATCTGCTGGCTGCTCCTTGCCTCAGGAAAGATCACGATGGCACAGAACTGCTCCCATCCAGTAATCTTGTTCATTCCACTGTGTAAATGCTATGCGCTCACTTTTCAAAGTTTTTTTTTTCTTCTTTATTTGTGGCATTAAAATTTCTTATGTTGCTGAGCCCAATGGTGCAGGCCTTCAATTCCAGCTACTTGCGAGACTGCAGCAGTAGAGGAGAAAGTTTAGGGACTGAACTACAGAGTGAGTAGAAGGCCAGCCTGAGTAGCTTAGTGAGATGCCTGTCAAACAAAACAAAACAAAACAAAACAAAAAACAAAACACATGTTCAGCAGCTCGCAAGCATGAGTACACACATACACACACACACACACACACCAAAACAGGTCAGGAGCATAACATTCAATGGACTCACTGATGGAGGACTTTCCCAGTATGTATGAGGTCTCTGCTTTCATCCCCAGCACGGCAAAAAGAAAATTGCTAGTATTCTTTTTGTTCATATCATGGGAGACTTAAAACATTGAATGTATTATTCTTTTCCTGATGAAAATTAAACAAAAATAAAGATAGAAAAGAAAGAGCCAGAAAAGAAAGACTCTTCATAAGTGAGTTAGGACTTACTCTATATTTAGAACATTGCAAAGATTAAGGAGTCTACCAAGGGGCATAAATGAGATAAGAGTAAATTCAAAGAACATTGTTTAGACCAAATCTAGGCATGTGGTAGCTTTAGCACACCAAGCAAGATACATTGTTACCTTCATGCAGTTTATGGTATAAAGAAATCTTCTTTTACATTTATTTTGCCTGTGGGCATGCATAGGTTGGAGAGGGAGGACAGCTTTTTGGGAGTTGGTTTACTTCTTCTACCTACTGAGCTCCAGAGGCTGAGCTCAGGTCACCCAGCTTGGCAAAACGCAGCTTTACCAATTGAGCCATCTCACCAGTCTCCAAACAACAAAGTTTAATTAACAAGCAATTAATAATGCTATTGTACGTAGTCCCTACCCTAAGCCAAACATCATGTTAGTATTAGGAAGCAACGATCAGTAAGTAACAATACATCAACTACAATACAGTTTGCCATGCACTAGATCTCGTCCTGACCAATTTTCATAGGTTATTTAATTTAATAATTAAAATAATCTTTCCAGTGGGCGAGAGAGATGATTCCATGGGTAAGAGCACTGTCACCTTTTCCAGAAGGCCTGGGTTTGATTCCCAGCATCTACATGGTGATTCACAACTGACTGTAACTTAAGTCCCCGGGGGATCTGATGCCTTCTCTGGCCTCCGTGGACACCAGGCACAAATATGGTACACAGACATTGGGCTTGTTTGAATAAGAATGGACCACATAGGCTCATATATTTGAATGCTTAGTCACCAGGGAGTGGAACTGTTTGAAAGGATTACAAGGATTAGACAGTGTGACCTTGTTGCAGTAGGGTGGCCTTGGAGGAAGTATGTCACTGGGGTTGGGCTTTGAGGTTTTCAAAAGTCACTCCAGGCCCAGTCTCTTTCTCGTGGCCTGTAGATCAGGATGTAGCTCTCAGCTCCCACTCCAGTGTCATGAGTGCTGCCAAGTTCCCCCACCAGGATAATAATGAACTAAACCTCTGAAACTGTAAGCAATTAATTACATTCTGTTATAAGTGTTGTCTTGTCATGGTGTCTCTTCATAGCAGTGATTAAGAGAGACATACAACAAACAAAACACCCATACACACAAGTAGGTAAATAAATAATGAAAAATATTACT